AGGCAGAGTAGTGGTCGCACCTTTTTTTTTCCCCTCTCCCTCCTCTGCTCTGCGCTCACTCTGCATGCTGTTACCAGAGCAGGGAGCAGCAGCGGTCAAAATACCTCAGAAACTCGAACAAATAGGCTTTAACAAGGCTTTAATAAGCTAAACAATAGAGGTACATGAGAAAACGTGTTAATTACGAATGAAAATAAATAATTAAAACATGTCCATACCAGTCTCGAACCCTGGTCTCCCACTCTCTGTTCCAACACTCTACCCATTGCCCTATTGGAAACTTGTTGTGAAATGAGCTGCGCATTACACAACAACCGTGACGGTTTTTTATACTGAGGAGGTGGGGCTTCACCCGGGGGCTGCTAGGTAAGCGGCTGAACACAGGTTCCAGTGGGTTGTCGTACGGCTTGTGACATCACAAAATGACGGAAGTATAAAACTTGTTGTTAATATACATTAAAAATACATTTACTTACAGTACATATGCCCATGGGTGCATTTTTTTTTTGGTTCTAGGACTGTTTTTTTTAAGAAGTACATACCCAAAGTTGAGTAAAAAACCCTTTAAAAGTGAATTTTGCATAATAGGTCCCCTTTAACATTGGTATCRGTATAAATAATTTGGGTGTTTGTGTAATATCAGTAAATATTGGTTATAACAATGATAATAAATCAGATATCGATATTGGTTAAAATATTCATATCGGTTCATCCCTATCTGCGTATGGAGTGATGGGCAACGTGGAATTATATCTTACCACAATCCTTCACGGGTTCATCAGACCAGTCCTTGCAGTCCTTCACCCCGTCGCACACCTTGTTGCTGTCGACACACTCCCCGTTTTTACAGCGGAACTTCTTTGGTGCGTCACATTTTGTAACTGTGTTCAAGTTGAAGAATATTTAAAAAAAACACGTTAAGAAAAGAAGAAAATAAAAGATTTTCACTTGCTGTACTTCATTTCATTGGAGAAACATCTAATGCAGATCATTAAAATATAAGTTTATGGAGCTTTAGAGCTCTTTTTACTTGTAATATTTCCAGTGGAGGGCACAGCTAACTCAASTSAAAATGCTTCATAGATCACAGTTTAAACGTGTTTATGTAGAGACATGAGTCAGAAGTTCTGAGGAGACTCTGAACACAGAAATAAGTGTCCTCAGCGGGGCGATGATGACCCTGTGTGACTGCTACAGTAGATATGGCTCTGCTTGCAGAAATTTTTTAGTGGCAAAGAAAGTAACCAATGTTATTTTAGTGGGAGATAAGCCTGTTGCKAACATAAAAACATAAAGCAAACGTTAAATATTAGTTCTGCTGTTAGTGGGTTAGCTGAATTATGCCCACCACAACATTTCTAAGACTGACTTTTTAGCCTCTCCAACAGACATCCCTTAAACTCTTTGTTTTCTTCTAAGCYTCTTTAATTTTCTCTTCTTTCAGATTATCAAGGGGCCAAGTCAACAAGCACAGCCATCTGTGGAGTTGGTACGGTTTATGCCCCCTGCGGAGCTCATTAAAATGAATAAAACAGTAAATGAACTAATGTTTAACAACGATCAAATCAATCAYTGCAGTTATCCTCTAACTGAGAAGAACAGGACGTGTGTGTGATGTTTACCGTTGACACAGCCCGCCTCGTCGCTGTAGTCAGGGCAGTCGTAAACTTTATTGCACTGTTTGGTGCCGTGGATGCAGGAGCCGTCGCCGCACTGGAACTCGTCGGGTCGACACGTGAGCAGGGCTGCGGGACAAACGCAAGGCAGAGACCCACACAGAAATTAGCTAAGAAGCAGCTCTTTTTGGTGCAAATTATTCATTTTCTTTTGTTTAGAAGAAGTGCAAAACTAAGTTTAAGAAGAAGCCCGTGACATACTGCGCACAGCAAAAATGCCTGTGTTAATTTAACATCCACAGTGTTAATTTAACATCCACAGTGTTAATTTAACATCCACAGTGTTAATTTAACATCCACAGCATTAATTTAACATCCACAGTGTTAATTTAACATCCACAGTGTTAATTTAACATCCACAGTGTTAATTTCAACACCAAAGTGTCTATATGTGTCCAAACTCGCTGGTGTCAAATTAACATGTGTGAAAGTGTTAAATTTTAACACCCATTAATTAATAAGTTAATTTAACACCAACAAGTGTTTAATATTCAACAATATCGGGTGTCATATTAACATTTAACGCCAGTGTATTATTATTAACATAGGAAATTATGGTGTTAAAAAGGTTAACTGACACCACGAGGTGTCAATACACCATAAATTTAAGAGTGTAAATTAAACACTCCAGWGTTAAAATCAAATTCTYTGTAGTGTTGCATTAACACTCAGTAGTTAGTAGAAAAGTGTAATGGAGTCACCCTTCACACACCACGACATACCTTTCAMTCATGGTKTCGATTTTTGGTCAATAACACAAACTTAAACATGAACAACTTGATCAAACTGATCAAGATAACTAACTAGAACAACAAATTTTTACACTCGTGAACTTCTTTAATAGTCATAAACATACAAACACATAATTTCTACAAGATTACCCAGCATTCCTTGCTGAGAAAATACTGTTCTGTCTGACATGAGGTGGAAGAGGGTGGGGCTTTTCAGGAGACTTCTTTCAACACTGCATGGTGTTATATGACAACACAGTTGAGTGTTATATAACACTTAACAGTGGGCGGAGCTTATTTAACACTGTCCAGTGTTGAGACAATACTGAGGAAATCAACACTGTGAATTAACACAAGCACTGGGTGCCAGTTTATTCATAAAGTGTTAAAATAACATTAGGGGGTGTTAAACCAACACCCAAAAGTTTAACGCTAAAATTTTAACTCTCCTGTTTTTGCAGTTTCCTCCTTACTGTTTTATGAACAAATGCTATTCTGTGCAGTTGTTCTGCTGCTTTCAAAGCTCTGCTTACTACGTTTTACAATCTAACAGTAATCAATAGCCTCCCATTTCTTATCTGCACAAAAAGACCTCACAAAAAAAAAATGGAAAAAGAGGGCGGTTATTTATGCCGAATGTAAGAAAAACTCCTTTTCAGTGATCTGCTGACAATGTGTGCAGGTGTGCATATACACGTTTGTTTGTCCTCTAACAGTGGAGGTTGGCTTTATTTCTCCCATTCATCTTTCTAACTGGCTATTTATTTATTCATGTTTTGTGTTTTGGACCCGCTCTGCTGAAGCACGAAGCCAGACATGATCAATAACCGTAGAGCCTGTACGTATCAGYGGCGCACAATCGTTTTATCTGGAAATATGGCATGAAGAGCAGCGCATCGCGTGCACACATACAGATCATCAGGTGAGAATAAAACAAGATGCAGGCACACAGTTTTGGGAGCAGAAAGGTAAGACTGACTCAAACTGCTCAAASCAAATGTAAAGGCGAACTAATCGTGCAGAAAAATTATTCCGACCAAACCGTTAGAATCTGAGCTAATTAAGATAATCCCATAAAGATGGATAATAATGATAACAGATTGGCATCTGTATAAGTGCTGGCAGGAGATAAAGTGGCTYGTGACCACTTTTAATTTACATTAACCTCCTGTCGCTCTCCTCGCAGTCGCTCGTCTCCGGACGTCTGCAAAAATCAAACCCGATTATTGAGACAGATGCTTTAAATAAGAGAGGAGAAAGAAAACAAGGGGCTGAAGCCGCGGGAACGTCGAGAGCTTTGACAGGGCTGAGCAGAGGGAGGCGGAGGGAACAAACTGCAAGACGAACATCTCACATCTCAGATTTGCACTGAAATGCTGCACCTCCCTCAGCTGCGCTCTGCAGCCTCATTTGCATTACACAAACTAAAACCATTACATCTCGTTTCATGTAAAGACCTCCGAGCAGACACTTTTATTCTCACTGCGATGAGCGGACACAAATACACACAACACAACGTGCTTCATCCGAACTGAGAAACATAAGAGGTTATGCAAACCATTTAACTGGAAWWAATCAACTGTTCAGTTATGGTAGCTGTCTCATTTTGTACATTTATACTTTTTAAATGCCTTCCTGCAAATGTTCCATTTTATTTACCTAATCCAATATTCAACACTGTGAGATATTTCATCGATTCATATTGAGTCTTAAACGCACTTCGTACTGTATACACATATTTATTCCTGAGATGTTTAGAATAGCTTTATAATCAATGTGCAATCATCTTGTCTATATGACTGTGATTTCTCTGTACTTTTAGAAGGTTTCTGAATTATCGACAAGGTATTTACTTAATACATGCGTCRACTTTACTGAACTGATGAGTCAAGTCACCAGATAGTCCGGGTAGGCTGCATGAATGTGGTGTGAAATGAGACGGTCTAGCCTTCRTTTGACATATGTTTGCTTGACCACGCCTTACCCTCATTACCATGGTGATGGTTTCATACTAGATTTGAAATGTGTTGGGACACTGTGTATGTCTATTCGCTGAAAGATTAACATCACAATAGTAAGTCTGACTCGTTTCCAGTGAGAGTTGGACTCCACCAAGGCTGCCCTTTGACACCGATTCTGTTCATAACTTTTATGGACAGAATTTCTAGGTGCAGCCAAGGTGTTGAGGGGATCCTTTTTGGTGATCTTAGGATCACGTCTCTGCTTTTTGCAGATGATGTGATCCTATTGGCTTCATCAGATCATGATCTCCAGCTCGCACTGGAGCAGTTTGCAGCCGAGTGTGAAGCGGCCGGGATGAGGATCAGTGCCTCTAAATCCGAGACCATGGTCTTGAGCCGGAAAAGGGTAGGTTACCTCCTCCGGGTCGGGGAGGAGGTCCTGCCCCAAGTGGAGGTGTTTAAGTATCTTAGGGTCTTGTTCACGAATGAGGAAAGAATGGAGCAAGAGATCGACAGACAGATTGGTACTGGATCTGCAGTGATGTGGGCGCTGTACAGGTCTGTCATGGTGAAGAGGGAGCTGAGCAAGAAGGCAAAGCTCTCGATTTACCGGTCAGTCTACGTTCCTACCCTCATCTATGGCTTTGGGTAGTGACCGAAAGAACAAGATCATGGATACAAGCAGGCGAAATGAGTTTCCTCCAAAGGGTGTCTGGGCTCTCCCTYAGAGATAGGGTGAGAAGCTCAGTCATCCTGAGGGACTCAGATTAGAGCCGCTGCTCCTCCACGTTGAGAGGAGCCAGTTGAGGTGGCTCGGGTATCTGGTTAGGATGCCTCCTGGACGTCTCCCTGGTGAGGTGTTCTGGGCATGTCCCACTGGGAGGAGACCCAGAGGAAGACCCAGGACACGCTGGAGGGACTATAATTCTCGGTTGGCCTGGGAACGACTTGGGATTCCTCCAGAGGAGCTGGTCCAAGTGGCTGGGGAGAGGGAAGTCTGGTCTCTGCTTAGGCTGCTGCCCCCGAGACCCGACCCCGGATAAGCGACAGAAAATGGATGGATGGCTCACACAAGAGAAAACTGACTTTTGATCACTTTTCATATACATCTTATGTAACTAACAGCCGATTTTCTTGAAACTTTCTGAAAGTATTCATTGGACGTACATTTACAATTGATTACGGCCACATTTAACCAACCTAACACACATAAAAGGCCATATGTCAGCGGCTTTTACAGATATTGAGCTAACTTTTGATATGATAGCTGAGTCACTCACAACACACACTACTCTAACCACTAATTCACCATAATGTTATTTTCAATGTTGGACCGTATGTCATAACATAAAGGCTGTGAGCAATAAGTACTGCCTATGAATGTAAATATATTMTAACAGAATTGGAGAGGAATTAGTTAGAGTTTGTCTGTTTTTTATGCAGTTTTGAGACAGATACCACTGATGACACCTGAAGCCCTCAAAATGTGCCCGTTTCTGACTAAAAGATCAGACAGTTCTGAATGAAATGCTTTGGAAAACCGTAAAAATCCAGTTTTCTGTTTGTAGCTTCGGCATTTGAAAGTGCAGCAGAACATGCAGATGTGTAACTGCAGATTATTTCCTCCATGCAGGGCCGACTTCTCGTGCTTTTTCTGCATCTGGAGGAGTTTTTGTGGAAACATTCATCACTGTGTAGTTGTGCTTGTATCATGTCTTACATGCGAACCTGCTGTGATCTCACTGAGTGGTGTGTGGGAGTGTGAAGAGAGGACCAGATGGGGGTCTCGCTTGATGAAGGACCCTCATCTTCCCACTCGTGCACACACACATACACACACATAAAACACACACGGTCAAACACGCACTGAGAGATTTTCCTTCTGCTTGAGCAGATCACATGGTTGCATAGCAACACGCTTATGGATCATCATGATACGGTTAGCACTGATCTTCCTTCAGTCATTTGGTGGCACATTTGTCACATAGTCTTTGTTCACAGTAACGAGTAGGAGAGCATTTCATGTGTTTCCAACCAGTAGAGTAAATCCACACACAAACCTAATGCTCCACAACACAAAGTATTATTGTTGGGACCTAAAAATCACATTCCCTTAAAGCTACATGCTAATTTTAATAAATTAACAGTTACAAACCATGAACTTTACACTTTAAAGGGCATGTGACATGCATATCTTTGAAATACAAAAAGTCAAAGAAAGCATCTTTATATTTAAGAAACTTGGCAAAATACGCTTGACTTTTACCTATTTTGTCACATTACTGGCATATTGTCTTTTGAACTTAGCTTAGCCAAAGTGAAACAGGAAGTGACATCAATGAGGAACTCTTTAAGAAAGGGAACTCCCTGGTCTTTGTTTACTGAAACAATATTATTTGAATTCTAACTCATCTTAATCTCTCTAATAGTGACTCAAGAAAATAATCTAAAGAAACAGATTGCTCTGTRTTGTTGGCTAYTGTAGTAATGCTCTGTTCACATTCAGACATTCCCCTTTGACATCACTTCCTGTTACTTCAAACCAAAATATCTCAACAACTGTTCATCYCAGTGGTGTGAAAATCTTTTGGCAATASTTTATTAATATTATCCGTCCAAAAGTGCATTTGTGTTTATTAAAAAAATATGTCACAGGTACTTTAAACAAAAGCAGTGCACATAGCAAATATAAAATATTTAAATTCCTAGCATTCTGTAAAGAAAWGCATAACACCCCTTCCATTTGGTGCCAAAATTTGAACCAGGCAGGGGCCACAGCAGCATTGGCCCCTGCTGAAATTTGATTGGCCCCCTGATATGCCCCTGTCCTGTCACTCATCTGTCCTTCGCCCAAGTGTGATGATGCTGAATGCAATTTTATGTCTAAACACTAGGGGCACTAATGAGCCAAATAGAAAAGTCCAGCAKGAATCAAGCTGACAGAAGTCTTCTTCTTTTCTAAAAATTTGAACAATCCTGCAGAAAAAGTCTTTCAACTCACAGATGATGGCAGGATTCTCTCACATGCTGTGTGTTTGAGAGTATTTTATCCATKTGCTGTAAATTTATAAACAATAAACRAGCTGTTTTAAAATTACATTACAAGTGTTTARATGTGTGACTGGTAAAATATATACACCTTACCAAAAAYAAKGAATTTGTGTGYAAGGATGCTGAACAAATACWTGGCCCCTCTATRAATATTGTGGCCCCTTGATGGCCCCTTACTCAGAGAAATCCTAGATCTGCCACTGGAACCAGGTTCTTCTTATGTCGAAGTTAATCAGTTGTAGATGTCAACTCKATTAATTTCTGAAAGCTTCATTATCACATCTGCCCAATGGTTCATGAGATRTGTTGCAACCGGTACAGACGCAAAACCATTATCCCTTTGTCTTTACYGGCAGGCAATAAAAATGACATCCCAGCATTCATCAGGTTTTATAAAYATTATGACTGGATGAGCATTTTTTATATTATGAAACTAGAAAAATATGCAGTCACTGAAGCTACTTTCTTTAAAAAAATGTATTTGTTTAAAACTTAACTTCATAATCTGCTTTCATAAAAAAAACTCATTTAATGGTCTGAGTATTTAGTGTTTTTTTTTAATTACATTAGTTGTCCACGGGGCTGTGGGAATGCTACATCATCCTGTGACAGCACAGACGATTGTTGTTGGAAGAATAAATTTAGTCTCAGAGATTTGTTTGATAGTAATTATAGCGACAGCATCAGGATCCCTTTATCGTTCCACTGAGTTCCACACTCATTACGCTCGCTCAGAATCAGAACCAGAATCAGARTCAGGTTTATTGGCCAAGTAYGCTGACGCACACAAGGAATTTKCAGTTTAGAGCATCCGTCCGGAGAAACACAYACACRTGACAAACATGGGGGAACAAATGTCCAGGGTCCTTCGCAACTTAGTGCGCTACCTTTGCAGTTTAGAATACACACACAATAGGAGAGSTGAGCTAAAAAAGAAGAGCTTTGATCCTGYGTTTTATACAGAAAAACACACAAGCATACGCTCAAAAAAACTACTCTGCRACAGTGCAGTTAGCTAAGGAGGGGAGGGGGTGGGGGGTCAGAACACATGGAATAGRGAAGGTTTCAGCRCTCATTTATCAGCACTCATCAGTTCAGCAGCAGAAACACAACACATCCGGGGACGACTTACGACAGTTGGTTTCGTCCGATTTATCCTTGCAGTCTGCRTCGCCGTCGCACTTCCAGTTCATGTGCACGCACTCGCCGCTGCCGCACTGGAACTCGCCCACCGGGCAGCGGGGTTTCTGGGGCTCGGTCCTGCGGCTGCAGCGCTCCATGGACTCGTCTGACTTGTCCTTGCAGTCCGGGTCCCCGTCGCAGCTCCACARGGCTGGGATGCACTCCGAGTCGTTGCAGCGGAACTCGTGCTGGCCGCAGGTGGGAGCGGAGCACTTCTCCTCGTCGCTGGCRTCTCCGCAGTCGTTGTCTCCGTCACAGACGTAGACGGGCGCCACGCACTTTCCGTTACGGCACTGGAAGTCTTTGGAGGGGCAGGCCTTGGCATCTGCAGAAAGGACGGGACAGGTTGATAAAGCTAACGATGATTCCTTTAATTCATTTTTGTGTCATAGCCATACATAGTGCATTACAATCATTGGCCACTACACTGCAACCCTTGATTAGGGTAATGATCACCACTGAACTGGGTTGGGGGCTGAGATCTATTTTTTCAAGCACGGCAATTTGGACAGGAATGATTCTGAATCTTTTTTTGTTGAAGTGGAAGTGTAGTGCCTGCAAACAAGAGAGGTAGAATGAGACATGAAGCAGGACCTTATGAAAACCGTTGTTTGGAACTAGTTTGACTAGAAAGAAAAGAGTTRCAAGGATCAGGGATCTGAGATGTGGCTCAGTTTTATGTTGGTTTGTTTTTTTCTGTTGTTCTCGTGGAAACAAAACAGTTCTTGCTTGCAGGAAGTGTTGCTGCAACCGGAGTCAACGGTACTGGATTATGTCGCAAAGAAGTTTGTTTTTTTCTGTTGTTCTCGTGGAAACAAAACAGTTCTTGCTTGCAGGAAGTGTTTCTTGCTTG